CTCATAGAATAGAATTTCCCAAGTGTTTTTTTTTTTTTTTTAGGGAGCAGGACATCACTGTGCGATAAAACTATGTATCTCCAAGCTGACTTTGAGTTTTATCTGAAATGCCATTACAAAAAAATATATAATTTTGAATAAAAAAAATAAAAACTCAGAAAAGCGGTTCATTAATCCAAAACACATTTAAAAGTCAGACTGATATCTCCTCATAGAATAGAATTTCCCGAGGTTTTTTTTTCTTTTCAAGGGATCAGGACATCACTGTGCGATGAAACTATGTATCTCCAAACTGACTTTGAGTTTTTATCTGAAATGCCATGAGAAAAAAAAATATTTAATATTGAATTAAAAAAAACCCTCAACTTCCATCCATCCATCGATTTGCCGATCCGCGTATCCTCACAAGGGTCGCAGGGGGTGCTGGAGCATTTTCCGATCCGCTTATCCTCACAAGGGTCGCAGGATCCTATCCCAGCTGTCTTCAGGCAGTAGGCGGTGGACACCCTGAACCGGTTGCCAGCCAATCGCAGGGCACACAGAGACGAACAACCATCTGCGCTCACACTCACACCTGGGTACAATTTAGAATGTTCAATCAACCTGCCATGCATGTTTTTGGAATGTGGGAGGAAACCGGCATACAGTACCCAGAAAAAACCCACACAGGCACGAGGAGAACATGCAAATGGAGCTGGAATTGAACCCGGTACCTCTGCACTGTGAGGTCCACACGCTAACCACTGGACCACCGGGGCGCCCAAAACTCAACATGAGTAAACCATGCATGTTTTTGGAATGTGGGAGGAAACCGGCACACAGTACCCGGAAAAAACCCACACAGGCACGAGGAGAACATGCAAACGGAGCTGGAATTGAACCCGGTACCTCTGCACTGTGAGGTCGACACGCTAACCACTGGGCCAAAACTCAACATGAGAAAGGAGAAATATGGACATTCGACATGCTTTTTGTTGGACAGTCATGGCTTGTTCCCTAAAACACAAATAGCACTGTGGGAGCACATACACAACTTTCACTCACTCATTGTCGTGGCCGGACAGTTACAGTACACAAAGAAAACTAGTTGTTTTTTTTTTGTCATTTTTCCAGATAAAAAAAAGCAAAAAACATCAACATGTGGAAATACATGCTTTTCACTTGACAGTGACATTTTTCTCCCTAAAAAACAAGCACCATAACTCCAGAAGCGCATACAGTATTTCAGCTAAAATCCGTCAACCAAGGCTTGACAGTTCCGACACACAAATCAACACATTTTAGGTGTTTTTCTGATCAAAACCCCAAACTCGCAACATTTGGAGATGCATGCTTTTCATTGGCCTTTAACATTTAGACTCTCCCATCCTGGTCCCAAAAGGAACTTTGAGAGCGCATACAACAATTGTTTTTGTTGTTTTTCAGCTGAAAACACATCGTACCAAAAATTTTGGACATATATGGACAGCGACCTCCTACTACCCCACAAAAAAAATAAATTCGCAACATTTGGAGATGCATGCTTTTCATTGGCCTATAAACATTTAGACTCCCATCCTGGTCCCAAAAGGAACTTTGAGAGTGCATACAACAATTGTTTTTGTTGTTTTTCAGCTGAAAACACATCGTACCAAAAATTTTGGACATATATGGACAGCGACCTCCTACTACCCCACAAAAAAAATAAATAAATTGGGTCAATGGAATTTTTTTTCACTTTATTACCAAGGCCTTGGCTGGGAGTCCCATTCTTACTTTCACATGCAGTCCCAGCTGGGCGCTGCATGCGTGATATGTGTGGGTGTGTAGCGTGTTCCCGTTCCCCCGTCCTCATTACAGACAGGCCTGTTGACCTTGCGCTTGTGCTTCATGTTTAAGAGCAGATGTGTTGGCTCTGAAGGGCTTAATGGAGAGCCGCCGTACATGCTATCAGCTGTCGAGGGTTATCAGTCATTAGCCCGGTGGAAGGCTGAATGTGACACCGGGGGCCCGCAGCAGGTTCCCCGCAAAGTAAAGTCTCGCAAAAGACAAAGGATGTGAGGAGACTTGGGGGTCTTTCTCGAAGTCCCCCCCCC